CGCCCCGCCCTGCCCCGCGCCACGTGCCTGACTCACTGTCTTCTTCCTCCACGCCGTTCTCTGGTTGCTGCGCACCCTGAAGCGGATCCTCGGCATGATCGACAAGAAGCTGCAGAACCTGGAGAAGAAGAAGGGTAAGCTTGATGATTACTAGGAACAAATGACCCGAGGGGAAGGGCTTCCTCTAGATCAGCTGGATGCCGTATCTAAGTCCCAGGAGGTCACAGATAACTTGAAGTTTGCAAAAGAATGACAGAGGCATTTCACGACATCAAGTCAAGATATTCGGAAAACAAGAAGAAAACGTCACGTTGGGAGCAGCTTATGAGAGAAGAATTTGAACAGAAACGTTTAAAAACGGTCCTTGAGCTGCAGTGGGTTTCTGGACAAGCTAGGAGACAAAGAAGTCTGGAGGGACCTGAAGCAGGGCCTGAGTGGAGTGCCCATCCTGTCCGAGGGAGGAGCTGTCCTTGTTGGATGAGTTCTCCAAGCTGGTGGACCCTCAAGTTCTCCAAGCTTGAGGTGGAAGGAGGTATGAACATGCCTCCGTCCCCTGGGGGCCTACTGGAGGGGAAGGAGAAGGCCTGTTCGGTACCACCTATAAAGTTTTTTTTGTTTTGTTTTGCTTTTTGTGAGTCAGAGTCTCGCTCTGTCACCTAGGCTGGAGTGCATTGGCATGCTCACAGCCACTGCAGCCTTGACCTACTGGGTTCAGGGGACCCTTCTGCCTCAGCCTTCCAAGTAACTGGAACCACTGGCGCATGCCACCATGCCCAGCTAATTTTTTGATTTATTGTAGAAATGAAGTCTTGCCATGTTGTTCAGGCTGGTCTCAAACCCTTGAGCTCAGGCAGTCTTCTAGCCTCTGCCTCCCAAAGTGCTGGGATTGCCCAGTCTATAAAGTTCTAAAGGACATTGTGGAGTGTGTTTTCCAGTCAAACTGCTTTGATAGCACCCACAGTCACCAGAACAGGTTGTGTGAGGAGGCAGTGGTGTGACCTTGGCCCCTGCTACGGAAAACCAGGCTGTGGAGGCTGAACATGAGCCAGCAGAAAAGTACACTGGGCTAGGTGGAGTCAACAGCGTAGACAGACTAGGCAGTTATGGCAGAAACACAGCAGAGGTGAAAAGGAGCAGGCGGAGGAGTGGACAGTTGACAGTGGAGGTGATCATTTCCCTCCAGCAAGCAGCCTCAGGCCACATCTACTTCCGGGCTGGATCCCCATTCTTTGACTCCAGTGGCTCAGGCAGACTCCCTTGTGAGAAGGCAGCGAATGAAAGACCTCATGGCAAAGATTCAGGGGTCCTAAAATTTCATACAGGACTCAGTGTGGACTTTGAAAACCAGATGCGGAATCCTGCTATTATCTCTGCACAGCCTGAACCCAGCACAGTACATGGACATGCCCCAGCTGGTTTGCCCTCCAGTTCACCCTTCATCTAAACTTGCTCAACCGAGACAAGTTCCTGTACAACCAGAAGCTACACGGGTTCCTTTGATTTCGTCCACGAGTGAAGGGTACACAGCATCTCAACCCTTGTACCAGTCTTCTCATGCTGCAAAGCAACAGCCACAACAGGAATGCATTGATCAGATTCAGGCAATAATCTCTTTAAATACAGACAAGATGATGGCACCCTCATCTCTTCCTGCTGTTTCTCAGCCTCAAGTATTCCAGAACGGACAAGCAAGCCTTTGCATAGCAGTGGAATCAGTGTCAATGCAATTCTGCTCCAGTCCATGCAGACGGCGTTCAGTATGAGTGCCCAAGATCCTCCTGTTAATGAGCCAGAAACTCTAAAACACCAATTTCAGTATTGGGCCAGTTCCAACCAGAGCTTCTCCAGTCAGCCTCAGTAGATAGAACAGACAGAGCTTCTTCAGCAGGAACAGCTCCAGACAGTGGTTGGCACTTACTATGGATCCCAGGACCAGCCCCATTAAGTGACTGGTAACCACCAGCAGCCCCTCAGCAAAACACAGGATTCCCACGCAGTAATCATCCTTACTACAACACCCGTGGCACATCCCATGGGGATGTCCATGGTGCTGGAGGCCTGATGAATAGGTACAGGGGCCCTGCCAATGGGTTCATAGGAGGATACGGTGGTTACCACCCTTCCTTCTCTAACAATCCAAACAGTGGCAATGCACAGTCTCAGTTCGGTGCTCCCCGGGATGACTATGGCTATCAGCGGGACAGATATCAGCCAAACTTCAAGCGAGGCTCTGCAAAGAGTGGACCATGGGGAGCCCCACAAGGTCATGGAGAGCCCCCAAGACCCAACAGAAGGATGCTGCAAATGAATACTTAGCAAGTGAATGAATCTGATTCACAAGATTATGTGTAATCATCAAATACACACTGGCCAGTACATAATATGTTACCAGAAGAGTTATTATCTATTGTTCTCCCTTTCAGGAAGCTTATTGAAGAGGGACTGTTTTCATCCCATAAAGACAGTACTGTGATTGTCAGCTTTATATTATTACCTGAATATAGAAGGAAAATATTTTTACTCTGCATGTTCTATCCTCAGGGTCATCTTGATACCTTGCACATGATATTCAGATTCCTCACCCTTGCTTAGGAGTAAAACATAATATACTTTATGGGGTGATGATAATCTCCATAGTTTTTTGAAGTTATCTGAAACTTGAAAAACACAAGATGGACTTTTTTTGACATTGGATAAAATCTACATACCAGGCCTATTCAATGGTAATTGACAAAACTAAATTATTTTCCTTGAATGGAAGAACTGAAGACATGAAGTGTGGTGTGACAGAGCAACTGCTTTCCGTGACTTTTCCAGTTTAATTGGCACACTGGACATTCAGACACATCCCAGCCATGCATAGCCCTCCTCACATGCAGGGCTAGTCTCCAGCTTTACCTAGCATTATTCATCTGACCAAACGACTGTGGTTGGAAACACATGCAGTCCAGGCTCGGTGGCTCAACCTGTATCCAAGCACTTTGGGAGGCCGAGGTGAGTGGATTGCCTGACCCCACGGGTTCAAGACCAGCCTGGGCAACTTGGTGAGACCTCATTGCTACAATAAATCAAAAATCAGCCGGCCGCAGTACTGTGTGCCTGTGGTTCCAGCTACTTGGAAGGCTGAGGCAGAAGGATCACCAGAGTCCAGCAAGTTGATGCTGGGGTGGCCATGAGCATGCCACTGCATATAACCTGGGTGACAAAGCGAGACTCCAACTCAAAAAAAAAAAAAAAGAAAAACACATGCAAACTTCTTTTTACTGTATACAACAAAGCCAAAATGCAAAATTAGTCTTTGACTGGCACTTTTTAAAAATATGCGGCAAATATGGAATGTGATCAGAATGGCCGCTTCTGTACTTAATGTGAAGTATTTAGATTCCTTTTCAAACACCAGTTTCTTTGAGACAATGGCTTTGGTAAGGATGGGTATATATATCATTCCTTAAGATACAACATTGTCACTAGTCCTTGGCTCTTGTGTTGTCACCTAATTGGTACAGGTACTGATGAAATCTCTAGCAAATCATCATAACACTTTTGGTCATACGTTTCTCCTGCAGCTTGAAAGTTTTGTTGGTTTGTTTTTTTTTTAAAGGAAAAGATATCAAATACCTGGCTGCCACCACCCTTTTAAGTTACTCCTTTTTGAAAAGCACCAGTATGTGTGTTAGATTGGTTTCCCTGTTTTAGGGAAATGATAGTCAATAGTTTCAGTTCTGATGGTATAAGCAAAACAAATAAAACATGTTTATAAAAGTCGTATTGGGAATCATTACTGTTTAACAGCTCATGCAGGGTCAGCTCCATGAATAAGTGGTTCTCTCTAGCTACTGTGTTGCATTTATCTTTTGTATGAATTAATCCTAACTGTAATCTCCTTTGCTCATGGGGGCATTAATATTCAAAGTGTGATTCCTCCCCTTGGGTGCAGAGGGAGAGTTTCTAGCTCGATGGACATGGACAGTTGAGTAGTGACCCAGCCTTCTGTGGACACTTGTTCTGTGTGCCTGTGGCCTGCATGATGCTTGTTAGCCCGTTTCACTTTGACTTCATGACAAATTAATCCCACATGTTAAGCAAAGGCTACTATGTTAATGATGTTTTCTGTACAGAAGTTATATTTTATTTCCAGCATTTAGCTAAGGAATTTTTCCAGTAGATGCTCAACATTTTAAAAACAAAGGAGAGATATTTTCAAACATTGATCATTAGACAACTGGAGTTTTTGCTGGTTTTGTAACCTCCTAAAATGGACAGGCTGTTGAGTAATCTGCATTCAAAAGTTTTTTAGGGTGATGGGGAATAGGGATCTTCAACGTTTAAAATAAAATAAAATAAAATGAGTTCTTGAAGAAAAGAAAAAAGGCTGGGTGCCACATTTAGGCCAATGCCTGAGCAGAGGTAAAAAAGATGCAGTTGAGGTGAGAATTCCACAGAAGCCAGTAATCAGTGACCAGGGAAAAGAGGGCCTCAGAATTCACAGGCATCCGTGGTACCATTGCAAGTTACTCACCCCTCTCTTTGCACATGGGGAGACCCCTGCTGACATGTCCAATTGTGTCTGTCTATTGAATCATAAAAACATTGGATTTGCAGGAAAGAGAATTTATTAACAACATATTAAAAAGAGAAAGAAAGAAAATAAAAATAAATAAAATGTAAATAAATATATATATACAAGTTCAAGAGGTTGTTATATTAAAAAGACACCTGCACTCACATGTTCATTGCAGCACAACTCACAGTTGCAAAGATGTGAAATCAACCTAAATACCCATCAACCAATCAGCGGATAATGAAAATGTGGTGTATAAACACCATGGAATACTATTCAGCTGTCAAAAAGAATGAAATAATGTCTATTGCAGCAACTTGGATGGAATTGGAGAACATCATCCTAAGTAAACTAACTCAGGAACAGAAAACCAGATACCACATGTTCTCACTTATAAGTGGGAGATGTACTAAGGATATGCAAAGACATAGAGAATAGTATAATGGACACCGGAGACTCAGAAGTGGGAGAGAGAGAAGGGGTGGAGAGATGAAAAAGCAGCTCTCGGGTACAATGTGCACATTTGAAAGTAGTGGGTACACTTAAAACCCAGACTTCCTCACCATTATACAATGCAACCATACAACCAAAACCGATTTGTACCTCCTGAAGCTATGAAAATTAGAAACACACACACACACACACACACACACACACTCATATATGAGTTCATACAATGTTGGTATTTAGCTTTATATATTTCACTGTGTGATAAGAATGATGTGTGAGATCAAGGGAATGTTCCAGTCTAGTACTATCTAATAGAAATGTAATGTGAAACAGATCCAAGTCATGTGCTGTTTTAAATTTCTAGTAGTCACATGTTTAAATGGTTTTTAAAATAGGTGCAGTTAATTGTAATAATTTATTAGCTCAATATATTCAAAATATTTTTACATGTAATCAATATTAAAAATACTAATGAGATATTTTGTGTTTTGTATTAAGTCTTTGAAACCCAATGTGTTTTTTGTTTTTTGTTTTTACAGTTGTGGCACATCTCAATTAGGATTAACCAGATGTCAAGCCCTTGATAGCCACATCTAGTTAACGGCTTCTGTATGGAACAGCATGAGTCTAGCCTGTTAGAATACATAATATCAAACTCTATGTAATGTTAGCCATTGATTAGGCAAACAATTAGGTAGGTCCTATCTGAAACTGACTGACAAGCTTCCGCCACCTAGGAATAGTTGAAATCACGTAGGAGTGCACTAGGTCTCACCAATAGCCACAGCCTGCAGCCACCAGCTCCTTCACACCACACTGTCCCACTAGCTTTCTGTCCTGACCCCTCTCTTCATCCTGTTCCCTGCAGCACTGGCTGAATCCTCTGGCAAAGTAACTTGAGGTGAAGTGTTTAAACATGGCTAACATGTTGACCATCACAGCTCACAGACAGGCCTCCCCCAGAAAGAGCAATGGAGACTTTTCAAGCATCTTGTGGTCCTGTGAACACCTTCTAGGCCCTTTAGACCTCACTTTGGAGGCCATCCTAGGAAACTCAGTATAAAACAGAGGGACCAGAAAACGATGCTGAAAGGGGAGGCATGGACACCAGGCTTTTACCCAAAGCAGTGTGCTGGGGCCAAAGTACTGGGAACCATCACTCTCTGCTTCTCTGTGCTCCAACCCAGCCTGGAGACCCAGGACCCCACTGCCCTGGCTCCATAAGAACTGCTATACTTTTCCATCTCCCTCCCCTCAGAAGCTCCGAGGAGTTAGACTGTGCTACTCTCTGCAAGTTCATGATCTTCCAGTAAACTGGGCAAGAGTGGAGGAGATGAGCTAGAATGTCCCTCCCAGGGAGAGAGGTGGTAGTGGTGAGGAAGACTCAAGGACTTCCCAGACTGGCTAACAGTTGGGCCCTCCTGGGGAAGTCACCATGCTGGTTGAGAAAGGCATAGCAACCTGCAAGGCAGTTGGAACTGTGAGCTGGGGTATGGGGGCTTATCCTCAGGTTGGTGGAGGTCAGAGATCAGCTAGGCTGGAGCCATCAGGGAAGGCGTCTCTGAGGCTGAGGCCTGAGATGGGTCATTCCCAAGACCATGCTTATTTGGGAGAAAGTTGTGTGCAATGCGACAAATGGGAGAAGTTCTCATTGTTCCTTTACATTCCACCCCTGCCCTGACTGGTGTGTAAAATAGGACTTTAAAATACACCCTCAGCCGAGCACAGTGGTTCACACCTGTAACCTCAGCAAAAGTGCTTTTTAAAGGAAAGACCAAGGCGGGAGGGTTGCTTGAACACAGGCATTCAAGACCAGCCCGGGCCACATAGCGAGATCTCGTCTCTAGAGAAAATTTAAAAATTAGCCAGGCATGGTGATTGCGTGCCTGTGGTGCCAGCTACTTGGAAGGCTGAGGCAGGAGGATCACCCGAGCCCAGGAGGTCAAGACTGTGGTCAGCCTTGATCATGCTACTGCACTCCAGCTTGGGTGACAGACTCTGACTCAAAAAAAAATAGTATTGTGATTAAGTAATTAATTAATTAAAAAACAAAATAAAATCCATCCTCAGTCTGTGCCTGAGCTGGAAGCCACCCATACTAGTGGATTCCTGGGCTAGTGTGTGTGGTTGGCATGGAGGTGCAGTCCTCCCCTCTCCATCTCTGGCCCTCGTAGACATTGCTGACTCCACTCCCACCCCAACCCCCACCCATCCAAAGAACTTCTCACTGTCTCCAACGGATTAGTCAAATACTGGAGTCTGGGGATCTGGGGAGCCTGTCTGGCCCACACTCCTCTAGCCAGGGTCTCTGGTTTCTCCAGACACAGCCAACTTTGACCTAGCCATGTCAAGACCAACATGGAACTTTTATTTGAATGAATCATAGCCTAGGGCAATTTTTGGATCCCAAGAGCTCTCCTCAGAGCAGGATTAATCCTGCTCCCCAAGCTTGATGGGGCCTGGAATCCATGACCCCAGACCCAGCCACTCAACTCCAATCTAACATAGTGTGGGGCCTGGCCCTTAGGGAGCCTGACTGTCTGCTTCCTTGTCTTCGAAGTGCTTCAGGGCAGTACTGGAGACAGTATGGGTCGGGGTATTGAGAGTGGTGTTCCTCGCTGCCTCCTCAGACAGATCACTAGATGAGTCCAGTCTCGGGATCTGGGTATTGAGAATGGCATTCCTCGCTGCCTCCTCAAACACATCACCAGACAATGTGTCCTCAGTCATTGTGACATTGAACCTATTCCAGAAAGAGCTTTCAGCAAATGAGCCCAGGGCCATATCTTTCTGGGGCTGAGGAAGGCAGCAACTCTGGGGCCCCTTCAGTGGGGCCCAGCCCTGCATTCCCAAGAGGTGAGGCTTTCTCCCTCCCACATATTCCCGAGCTTCTCCATGAACCCAGGAGGGACCCTCACTTCCAGGGTCAGCCATACTCCATCTCCCAACCTCAACCAGATCCTTTAATTTTCTGTGTCTTTAGTGTTTGGTCCACTATCTTCATCACCAGTGTTTACTGAGCACTTGCTGTGTGTTAGACCCTGTGCCAAGTGCTTTATGTGGGATTAATCCTCTCAAAAACCCCATGGGAAGGCCTGGCCGGGTGGCTCATGCCTGTAATCCCAGTACTTTGGGAGGCCAAGGCGGGAGGATTGCTTAAGCCCAGGAGTTTGAGACCAGCCTAGGCAACATAGCAAAACATCAACTCTACCAAAAAAAACCACAAAACATGGGAGATGAAGGCTGGACTACATGGCCTTACCTCTCCATGTCTCAGTTTGGGAATAGTGACAGGTCCTACTTTGCATTTGGTTGTTTTGAGGACAAAATGAGGTAAGGCATATGTAGAACAGGACCTGACACATGGTAAATTCTCAACACATGGTAGCTATCGTAATGACTGTATTATCATTCCACTTTGCAAATGAAGAAACTGAGTCTCTGAGGTATGAGGGAATTTCCCTGTACACACAGAAATGGTGGCACACAGAGAAACCCAGGGCTCCAGATCCTGACTCTCTTGCTCGGCTGCATTGCACTTTCCCTCTTTACGGTGGAGCACATTTCTATTCATCCTTCAATGCTGACTCAAATTTCTCCCACTCCCCAAATTAAAGTTCTTTTCTCATTAGGCTCCTGTAGAGCCTGTCCATTTGGCCGTCAGAGTCCACTAGCAATAACTGTTTGCCTATCTGTCTCTCCATAAACTATGGCTTACTTGAGGGTGGGGACCTCAGACTCTGACAGTCCAGCCCTCACACATGCCTAGCACATGTGGTACCAATGAGGGCTTGGGGAGGGACGAAGGGAAGAGGATAGTGGGGAGGAGGGCAGAGGAAGGCCAGAGGCAGTGACTTCTGTGGTACAGAGCAGAGGGCTCTATGGCCCCTGGCAGCCTTTGCTCCTTACTGACTCTAGGGTCCAGGGAGAGAGTGATGGGTTCATTTGCCCAAATTCCAGAAGGGATAGTTCTGCAGTTGATGACAAGTCTTCTCTAGGGGATACTTAGGAGATCAGAGGTCAGAAGTGCCCACTGAGGTGTTAGATGGAGCCTAGTTCCCACATGAGTCCTGGGCAACTGGGGCCAAGAGGCAGAGATGTTCTGAGGGTCCTTTATGAGGAACTAGGAGTTTGGACAGGAAAAAAAGGTACTCAGAGAGTAAGTTCCAAGCCAGTCCTCTGTGCTCTGGTAAGGGAGGGAGCCCAGGGCATCTCTGGAGTGCCTCTGGAGGGTATCCCCCAGGGCAGTGCCCGCAGTTCCCCCACCACCTGGTCAGCAGACTCAGGCATGTAATCAGAGCAGAGTCAGTCTACCAGAGGCCCAGCTAGGCCAGAGTTTGGTACGTCTGCAGTGGGGGAGTTGGTCAGCGTGGGTAGGGGAATCCCCCCAGTGCTGCCATGGCCTCTCAGGTCACTGTCCATCACACTGCACCCAGCCCCCACATCTCTGCCTACCTCCTCACCTGCAGTATCCCCCACCACACCCTCCTCCTCAGGCAGACAGGAGCAAGGAAAGGAGAGGACCTGGCCCAGGTGAGGTCAAGAAAGCCAGGTAGGATGGGAACTGGCAGAAGGTGGGCTGGACCCAGGTGGGTAGCAGCATCCAGAAGAGTTGGGAGACTGCTATGGACACAGGGTGGCCCTTGGGTTACAGGCCCTTCTGGCAAAGGGGTAGGGATGGACAATGCCCGGCATACTACCAGTGCCAAGGACTTCAGAACCAGGCAGAAGAAGTGCTGGCAGAGCCGGGAGCCTCACATACCCACCTCAACAGAGGGAAGTGCTCCAGGCTGTTGGAGAGGGGCTGATCTTTCGTCTCCCACAGCAGAGAGGTGAAGGTTATGGCCAGGATGGCTGAGACGCAGCTCAGAAAGATAGGCAGGAAGTGGGGAGTGTAGCGAATTATCGTCAGGGCCAAGATGGCTCCAGTCATCGAGGCTAGACACACCAGCCCCAGACCCGTCGCCCTGAAAGTGCAGGTGAGATCTTGTCAGGGGGTCTCTTGGGTCCAGAAGATGAGTGGGGCTTGGGAGCAGCTGCCTGAAACCCTATACCCTCCAGTCTCTTTCCTGTCCCATCTCACTGTGTGTCCCAGGGGAATTTAGTTCTCCATTGATTCAAAGTAGGCAGTTGGCAGGGCATGGTGGCTCATGCTTGTAATCCTAGCACTTTGGGAGGCCAGGGCAGGAGGATTGCTTGAGCCCAGGAGTTCAAGACCAGCCTAGGCAACATAGTGAGACCTTATCTCTACCAAAACAAAAAAAAACCCAAAAAAACCCTCAAAAAATTAGCCGGGTATGATGCTGCACACCTGTAGTCCCAGCTACTTGGGTGGCTGAGGTGGAAGGATTATATGAGCCCAGGAGGTCAAGGCTGGGGTGAGCCATGATCATGTCACTGCACTCCAGCCTGGCCAACACAGTGAGACCTTGACTTAAACAAATAAATAAATAAAGTAGGCAGTTGTTTCTTCTGGGCCTCCTTCATGAGGTTCAGGAAGGGGAGAGTTAGGAGCCATGCAGCATTGTGTAGAGGTGTGGGGAAAAGACATGGCAGTGACGTTTTGAGTGGACAGGAAGATACTACTGCCATCACCCAGCTCAGGGAAGGAGCTGAGCCTCAGACTGCCCCAAAAACAGTCCAGGCGGTGAGTTAAAGTCAGACCACTTGGGGAGTCAGACCACCTGGGGCCAAACTCCAGCTCTGCCAATAGCCCTGTCTGCCCTTGATCAGGTGCCATTATCTCTCTGGTTTGTTTTCTAGAATAGGGTTACTGATAGCATTTGGGGAATTTTTGGTGATGAATAAGTGAGGTCATCCTTGTAAACCACTTAGCACAGTGCTTGTCACCAGGTGAATATTCCCTCTTCGCTGCTGCATTAATCTTGTTATCGCTGCATTAATCTTGTTATCATCCATTCCTCCCCATACCCCTGTGGCCCCCTAGCCCACCAGCTCCTGTACCTGAGGACGGTGGGGAGAAGCTCAGGTGTGTAGATGAAGAGTACTGTGACAGTGATAGCCAGGCTGAACTCTCCAAGCGCAACCATCAATATCATCATGGAGTTTAGCTCTGTGACCAGACAACATGGCCCGAGACTGGGGTCATTCACCCTCTGGGGTAGATGGAGGAGGTCTGCCCATCAGCCCTCTCTTGATCCCTCCCAGAGGCATCTAAACTGTCTTCCCCCACCCCCTGGTCAGCAGACTCAGGCATTTAGTCAGAGGAGGATCAGTCTGCCAGAGACCCAGCCAGGCCGGAACTTAGAATATCTACAGTTGGGGGCATTGGTCAGTGGGAATGTGGTGGTCTCCCTGTGCCACCATGGCCTCTCAGGCCCCTGGGCACCATGTTACACTCAGCCCCCACATCTCTACCTAGAGGACCCTGCCCTCTGTTCTACCTCCTTACCCCACTACAATGTCCCCCACCCCACCCTCCTGCTCCTCCTCAGGTATCCACTCAGGGCCAGTGTGCGAGGATCCTCACTCAGGGCTCTCCCACCTGGCTCTGCAAGGTGGTCAGGGCAGGGGTGTGTTGGGTCCCTGGGGCCTAAATGTCTGGGATGGCTCCAACGCATTTCCAGATGCCTGACTCCAGGCAGCTAGACATGCACACTGAAGGGCACTCTGGAGAAAGCTCATATCCCCAGGCCTGGTGAAGATGAGAGCTGGGGTCTCTGTCCTCCCACGCCTCACTCCTCACTCTAGTCCTCACTTTCTTGTATCCGGGATGAAATCGGAGATTTAGTTTTATCTACTGGGGTCTTTTCTTATTTCTGCTTGACTCAGTGTAGAATCACTTTTTAAAAAAACTACCAAGTGATAGACACTGAATAATGAATTTGTTTCCCCATTTGGTGTTAGCCAGTCAACACTGTCAGCATCTGGGAGAGGACACACACGCACTGGAGCCCCAGAGGAAGGAAGGCAGCCCCTCGGGGCAGGCCCAGATGCAGACTCCCCTGCCTTAGCCACAGTAGACAAGGGCCACTAGTGGTCAGTAATTCTAAGAGGGTATACCCTGACACCTCAGCCCTGCACACTAGCTCTCTGACCTGGGGTGCGTGTTCATTGTCTAGGGCTCTTTGAGATTCTGAAAATATTGCCAGACCTCCCCTGCTTCCTTTTCTAGTGCTGAGCCCACAGGAGCAGGGCACTGAGCCCCCCTGGGAAGGGGAGGCCTCCAGGCAAGAACAGTTTCTGAGAGCTGAGCCCAATATGACACTCGATTTTCAGTGGGCAGGTTACCCCTGGTGAAATTGGAGATGACAACAGGCATTTCTCAGTCAAAGGGGATACAGATGAGAGGTGGGAGCTGGGTAGCTGTTGAAAGAATGTTTTGACCATTGTTCACATGGAGTCATTAGATCCGTTTCTGAGGCGGATGGGAATCAGGTGGAAGAAAGCTGCCCGCTCTCCCACACAAGGACGATTCCTCTGGACAGCACCTCCTCTCTCAGTCCCCTCAGAGTGTGTGGGTGCCCTGTCTTGGAGAATCCCCCTAGGAGGGGCAGTGCTCCAGGGATTGGCACCTGCTCCAGAGGTGCCAGGGACTCTGCAGGGTGCATGGGCTATGGGTGCAGGAGGCTGACTTCCCGGGGGCATCTAGTTGGTTGACCAAGCAGGAGGCACTCGGAAGGGGTTTGAGGAAGCAGGAAGGCTGTGGGCAGCCCCTAAGGTAAGCCGTACCTTCTGGGAAGATTAGGAGAAGGAAGCTTATGACAGTGACTGGGAAGAGAGTCACAGCCAGGCTCCACTTCCGCCCCATCCGCGCGAGAAGAAAGATGCAGCACAGCCGGGCAGGCAGCTTCAGGATGCCAGGGATCACGTGACTGAAGTGGATGCTCATGCCAAGTTCTTTCATCTTGAGGCTCAGCATAAAATAGTTGTAACTGACAGCAAACCTGGAACAAAGCCAGGAAAGAAACACACACACACACACACACACACACACACACAGCCAATAAAGACGCAGGCAGAGGAGAGAGGGTCAGGGTAGGAATGGAGAGAAGTACAGAGACCTGTGATCTGTGTTCCTGAGCTTTCTCTGCTTGCAGCCTGGCCATTCCGCCATCCCCTCCCCAGAGTTTCTGGCCTGGATACTCACCAGATACCACCCATCACCAAGGTCACCTTGAAGAGTTGCCTATTATTACAGAAGTCCAGGACAGAGGCCTTAGTCACCTTTCTGGGCAGCTGCAGTTATAGGACGAGCAGGACTAGCCAGAGCCAAGGCTGAAACCCCAGCTTGCTCCCCACCCCCACAGGACCCACAAACCCTTCCTGCACCCCACAGCACCACTTGGCTTCTGGCTTTCCCCTGGCAGGGTTCAATTTTGCTATCATCATTTATCCCCAAGCAGTGGGCTGGGGACACCCTCTGGGCCAAGTTTCCTCCTGAAAGGATGAGGAGGAAAGAGACCTTTTCACACACACCACCCTGGCCCCACTCCTGGCCTGGAGCCTCTTACCTCATTCAGTAGATTGAAAGGAATGGTCTTCTTGTTCACACTAGCTGCATAGCACAGCACCTCTTGGGCCTCCTTCACCTTGCCCTTTACCACCAGCCACTGTGGGGACTCTGGGAGAATCCTGTGGGATCCACCCCTCTCTTATCATTCCAGGATGTCCCAGAGACCCAAGGTGGCCCTATCCCAACCTCAGCTGTAGCCATCCTGCTCCAGCATGAGCTGATTTAGGTGTGGGGGCCTTGAAGGCCACCACTGACCTCGAGTTTCCCTCTGCTCCTCCCTGGCGGTCAGCCCTTCCCACTTCTAAGTCACACATAACCCCCACTGCTGCTTGGTGATACACTGGCCACCCACTGCCTCTGCCTCTACAGCCTCCTTTATTTACCCTCAATCATTGCTAAGAGCTCTCTCCTTTTCTACCTTAGGGGTGTCTGGATCTGCCCAGGCATGCAGAGGGCACTATCTTCTATGTCCATACCCTCTAGCAGAGACCCCATTCTCATAGTTGGGATTTCTTCCGTTCAGTCTCCCCAACAGCCTAGAGAGTGTGAGGGGGCAGGACCCTGGGCCTGACCCTGGGGTCCAGCACCTGGCCTGGATGAATGGAGGGTGAGTGAAGGAAACCACTCTGTCCCATCTCTCTTCTGCCACATCTCTATGGCTTCTGACCTCAGAATATTTCGCACCTCTCAGTTTTTTCTAATCCTTTTAGGCTATCAGAATCCACATAGGTTAACATGTAAAACACTTATGTGCTTGGAATTGTGCTTGGTGTCCTTGTATATATAGTCTTTAATTCTCACCCAAACCTGGACCTTATATGATTATTCCTATTTTATTCCCAGCTTCAAGGAGTAAGGGCTTGCTCAAGGTCACAGAGAGAAGCTGGTATAACCTCAGTCCCCTGAGCTGGTATAGCCTCTGTATAAAACTATGCCTTCATCCTGTGGAATTTTTTGCACCACTCCCTCCCTCTACAAACTGGACTCTGTGACTGGATGCTGTAAATATTCACTCAGGACACTAGAGATAACTTTATTCCCTCGAACTGTCCTGCTCTTTCTTCCTCCCCACAAGGTCCAAAATCAGTCAACCATTTCCATGCTAAGGCTGTGGAACTCTCCTAAAGAAAATAATCAAACTGTGATTTCTAAAGAAAAAAAAAGATGGGGGATTGACCACATGCCCGATAAAAAACAGACAAATTAAAGACAGATACCAACTCTCAAGGACAAAGAAAGTGAGAGAGAGAGGATGCAGGGATAGAGAGGTTATAAATGCACCAAAATCTAAAAGTGGATAGAGGAGTACTTCTGACTGAACCAGCAGGTGCTATGGTCTGAATGTTTGTGTCCCCCAAAATTCGTATGTTGAAATCTATCTCCAATGCAATAGTATCAAGAGGTGAGATCTTTAGTAGTGATTAGGTCATGAGTACAGAGCTTTCATTAATGGGATTAGTGACCTCATAAAAGGGAGCCTAAGGAGCTTATTCATAGCTTTCTACTGTGTGAGGGTGCAGTCATAAGGCACTATGAGAGCCCTCATCAGACACCAAATCTGCTAGTGCCTTGATCTTGGACTTCCCAGACTCCAGAACTGTGAGCAACACATTTCTGTTGTTTATAAATTACCTAGTCTAGTGTATTTTGTTCTAGCAGCCTGAATGAACTAAGACAGAAACTGGTACCAAGAGTGCAGTGCTGCTGTAACAAATGTGGAAATGACTTTGGAACTGGGTGATGGGCGGAGGCTGAAAGAGTTTGGAGGTGCGTGCTAGAAAAAGCCTGCATACCTGTGAACAAAATATTAAGGGTGATTCTGGTGGGGGCTCAGAAGAGGAGGGGTGTAAAGAAAGCCTCAGTCTTCTTAGAGACTACCTAAGAGGTCATGAACAGAGTGTTGTTAGAAATATACACAGCAAAGACTATTCTGATAAGGTCTCAGAAGAAAATGAGAACATGCTATTGGAAACTGAAAGAAAAGCTGCATGCTGTTCATGTCCTAGTGTTTTGTGGAAGGCAGAACTTGCAAGTGATGAAATAGAATATTTGGTGGAAGAGATCTCTAAGCAAAGCTTTGACGGTGGAGCATGGCTTCTCTTGACTACTTATAATAAAATGCAAGAAGACTACATTTTTAATCAAAACAAAAGCTGAACTTAAATATTTGGAGAATTCTCAGTTTGGCCACCATGTTTATTCATTTTTCATGAATAAAAAAGTGTGTTTGGAAGAGAACACCAAGGATGTGGCCAAACTGTTGTTTAATAAGGAGGCTAGTATGAATCAGCAGAAGCCAAGTACTATTTGTAACGACACTAAAAGAATGACTCCTAAAGACATTTTTGAAATTATTGATGCAATCCTTCCCATCACAGGCCCAGAATGCCAAGGCCTAGGGGACAGAAATATGCCAGAACACTGGTGCTCACTTCTAGAAGCCACCTCAAATCTCTGCTCCTGGCATTCAGGTGCAGCACTCCATGCCCCAGATGTGACTCCAATGGGCCTAACTTCAGTGCACCCTGCAGTGGCCATCTCTCCAGAGGACATAAGTGATTAAACATGGCAGCAACCATGTAGTACCAACTCTGAAGGTGTGCAGAGTACAAGAAATGTGGGGATGTGACTGACTCCATCTCGATTTCAAAGGATGCCCTGGAGAGGCTCAGGGCCCAGGCAGAAAATTGCCACAAAGGCAGGGTTGCTATATCTCTAGCAGCCATTAGGGCAGTGCCCAGCAGAACCCTGGGGGCAGGACCACCACCAAGACCCAGACTGGTAGAGCCACCACTGTGCAACTCTGGCCTGGGATAACTGCAGGCACTCGACCCCCAATGCATAAGAGGTGCTATGAGAGTTGCACTCAGCAAAGCCATAGGGGGTGGGGCTGCCCAGAGTCTTAAAGACCCAACCTCTGCCATGGTGTATCCAGAAGTTGGGACTTTGAGTTCAAGAAGATTATTTTAAAGCTTTAAAATTTAATGTTTGCATTGTTGGATCTGGTTGGGACTTATTCCTTTCTTCTTTCCTATCTCTCTCTTTTGGAAGGGTAATGTCTAACCTATGCCTGTCCTACCATTGTATTATGGACATACATAAATTGTTTGATTTCACAGGCTCATAGCTGGAAGGGAGTTTGCCTCAGGATGAATCGTACCTTGAGACTCACCCATATAAGATCTACATAATAGTTAGATGATACTCAAGACCAAGTTGTCTAATCTTTCGGCTTAAAGTAAAGAGGAATTCTCTTGGGCCACACCTAAATTATATAATATAGTCAGTGTATATCATAATAAAACTCCTCAAGGCGCTCATCAGAAATGCTTGCTTTAATATGATGTTAAAAGATTTTGGGGGGCTGCATTACTAACTGTCCTAGGCTGCATGTGGCCTGTGGGCCACAGGTTAGACATGCCTGCTCTAGACTTTAGTCTTTTGAGGTGATTCTGAAATAAGTTGAAACTTTTGGGGCTATTGGGATGGAATGAATATATTTTGCACATAGGAAGGACATTGATTTGTGAGAGAAGGAGTGGAATGTTATAATCTAAATGTGTGACTCCAGCAAAAAAAGTTCATATATTGAAACCTATCTCCAATGCAATAGTATTAAAAAATGGGGCCTTAGGAGGTGTTTGGGTAGTGAGGGAGGACCCCTAATGAAAGGGACTAATGAGTGTCCTTAAAAAAAGAGACCCAAGGGAACTTGTTCATCCCTTTTGCTATGTGAGAACACATAGAAGGCATCATTTATGAAAAATCAGGCCCTCACCAGACACCAAGTCTGCTGGTGCCTTGATCTTATGCCTCCAGAACTGTGAGCAATAAATTTCTGTTGTTTAGAAATTACCCAGGCTAAGGTATTTTGTTATAGCAGGCTGAACAGACTAAGCAGAAGCCAAAGCCCATGCCACTTGATATACTGAAGGATATGTGGACGACTGTCTTCCTCACCCCAGAGGACCCTGGACACTGCACTTCACATGATGGGATTGCCACAATGCCCTCTGTAGTTTGCGCATAGAGCATAGGGAACAGGAGGGAAAAAGAAAATGAGACTAACTTAAGGCCAGAAACAATGGCTCATGCCTGTATCCTAGCACTTTGGGAAGCCCAGGTGAGAGGATTGTTTGAGCCCAGGAGTTTGAGTTTGAGAAAACAAGACTAACTTGTATCACAAAGATATTTGAGGATGTTTTGTAATTTTATATTCCTAAAACAAGATTTTGAGAAAAATAAAACAAAATCAGAGAATTATGAATAACAATGTAACTGAATGTTACGTAGAACTTTTCTGTACTGAAATTTCAGCTGAAGTCCCAGAGCTGGTAACAATGAGGATAGCTTCACATTCTTTTTTTTTTTTCGAGTTGGAGTCTCACTCTGTTGCCCAGACTGGAGTGCAGTGGTCGCTTCCAGCCACCACAGCCTCAACCTGCTGGGCTCCAGTGATCCTTCCGCCTCAGTCTTCCATTGGTGTTACCCACATTCAGGGCAGGAGTTACTAAAAATCAGCAACACGGGCCAGTGACCCCCCCCCCCCCCAGCCATCTAGAGAGGCTGAAAACCCAGTTCAGAGCGAAAAGATCTTGAAATGCTTCGCCTCCTCATTCCCCATGCCGCTGTCATCTACTCAAGCCAGGTGGAGGGGAGTTTAAGAGAACTCCTTAGATAGGTTAGGGGACTGCCTTCAAAAAAGGGCATGTGCCTTCCCAATCCCTGGCTAGAATTTGCTGACTCAGAAACTTGGGGGCTTTCCCTGGTGCTCCAGTCAATGAGAGTTTATGGGAGAGTTAATATGTGTCTCCAGGAGTGTGAGGGCCTACGCAAACCCAGGGAATAATGCCCCTTTCTCACCTGGATATAATGAAGGCAGAATGTTGGTGAGACAGCCCACCATGGCAGGGTAGGGACTGGGGGACAGTGAGTTTTTTTGGCCAAGTGGACCCTGCTGTCTCAAAGGTACACCACAAGATAGAATGAGGAGGCCCCTACAAAAAGAGGCTGTGAGGTGAACTGGAGACAGGTACTGAGGGAGGTCACACACGGAGTAGTGGGAACATTAGGAAATTGCAACATTCAGAAGACCCGCAGATGGGCCCCGGAGAATGCTGGCATTTGACTATCTACCATACAGAGGACACTGACAGGCTATAATAGCTCCTGCCATGTATGTCTTGGTCTCTTTTCTCTGATGCTTCCATCCCCTGCCTAGAACCTGGAGGAGCAGAACAGGGAGACAAGAGGAAGAACAATAGGTCAGAACAAACGTCTTTGCCACTAGTCTGAGATAGGGGCCAGGGACAAGCTAAAGATTTGATGTAAGATCAAGGTTTTGAATTCAACAGAACTGGATTTTTTAATGCCTGTAAATTAGTTTTAATTATCAAAGTGAGACTTACTTCTTATAACCAAGATTGACTGGAAAGAGATGGAACCTACCCAAGACATTGTCAAGTGTCTGGGATGAGACCGCTGACAGGACATGTCAGCGAAGGCAGTAGCTGAAGAAAAATGTACCCCAATGAGTTCAACCCACTCAGTAAGTTGCCTACTCATAGTGTGTGGACTATGAAGAATCTCCAGAAGAAAAAGCAAAAAGAGTTCAGCGTGATGGCTTCCGGGAAAGGAACTAGGAGCTGAGGGGAGCTGAAATTGGCAACTTAATTTTCCATCACAAACTTTTTGGTACTCTTTTGTTGTTAATCATATGCATCTATCACACTAATGCCATTTTAAAAAGAGTTTAAGGTCAAGCCATGAACCCCTGCTTCCAAGTTACATGACAAAGTCATACCGCCTGGCATCAGCTGGGTCACACACCTTCTTCACTGACTCAAGGACTGTCAAAGCTTCTCTATAGAATTTGGAAGGTCTCCAAGCCATCTCCATGGCCTCACTCTTCAGTGACAGCCCCATGGCTTGTCATCCTTATCATGTATGATGCAGTGGTTAAAGCACAGGAGCTCTGGAGTCAGGCAGGTAAGTTCAAATCCCAGGTTCCCTACTTTTTAGCTCTGTGGCCTTGGGCAAGTTATTTCCATCCTCTGAAACCTCAGTTCTCCCTCCTCCCCACCTTCAATGACATGAGAGTAATGCCCATCTTCCAGGGTTGTAAAGATTCAATGTGATAATGTCAAGATTAAATATGATAATTACTTCATGCAGAACTGCCTAGCCCCTTCACAAGTGGGTTCTCTAATCTCTCTCCCTCTCATCTCCCTCTCTGCCATCTCATCATCCCTCTCCTTTTCCTGCCTGCCCACACTATTCACACCATCTCACTCTTGTTTATTGCCCTCATCCTTATTCCTCCAAGTTTTGCTCCAAACGTTGTCCCTTCATAGCTTCCATCTCTCGGGTTCCTTTCTGTGACTCCTCTGCAAGTAAAACACCAGATACCCTTCCCGGCCTCTGTCTTAGCTACCCATATAAGTCATCACTTTCTCCCTCTTTTCACAAAAGACTCATCTTTTGGGTGACTCCGTTTCTTCAGCTCCTAGTCACTTTTCAACCCCCTGCCCCTGCAGTGAAGCCACATCAAGAAGGTCATCAAGGCCATTAGACGCTTCCCTGGTCTCACCTCTCTTGCTTTCAATCCTGACCCCCTCCCTTGTCCTTGAACCCTTGCTGAGGTTCAGAGGCTCTGCCCTTGACTCCTCATCTCATCCCATCCACATGCACTCTCTCTCAGCGGAAAGCTCACCCATTCGCACAGCGGTAAGGGCCCTCCACACTCCTCAATGCCCAACCCATCAGACCTAGCCCTGGGCATGCCCCATACTCGCTTGCTCACCAGATATAGGAGATGAACAGGAACGTGGGCATCCCGCCCACCAGAAACAGCAGCCGCCAGTGGGGAAGACCATAGGCGAGCCCCGTCAGCAACATGATCCCCACAGCGAAAAAGCAGTGTCCCAGGATAGTGCTGTGGGCTCGGTGCTCGCCCCGTAGCCACTCAGTGGCTGTGCAGAGGCCAGGAGTGCAAAACCACGGTCAGCTTAGGGTCCTCAGGGCTGCCCCTCCATCTAGCCTTTCTTGATACACCTGCCCTGCTCTGGACAGTTCGGATCAGGCAGAAGTCCTTCTGTGTGTTCATGATCTGTGCTAGGTTCAGAGAAAGCCTCTCAAAGCCAGGCAAAGTGCCTCTGTTTCCCCAGGGCACACCTTAGGCCTCTTGCCTGATCTTCTAGTCACAGACATAGCCTTTCATCCCCCCTCCACCTGGCTCCTTCCTCTCCACATTCTCACCTGACCACGTGGTTCTAGGCACAGTACCCCAAATGTGGCCGGCGACATGGAGAGGCAAGGAATCACTGTTCTTGTCTTTGTTCTGAGTGCCTTAGTGGTTGGGCTACCTAGGCCTAGGGATCTGTGGAGGACTCAGTTTCTATTGGCAGGATTCTGGCAAACTCCCAATGACAAGAGGTCTCCCGCCAGGAAACCCTGATCTCACCAGGTGATTGCAGATATAAAGCTGTGTGAGTGTGCATGCGCTGGGGTCTTCAGCATCATGTAGGCCTGGGTTGAACTCTCAGCTTCTTTACTTAACTGTTGTGAACCCTGAGCAAGTTGGTTAACCTCTCTGAGGCTCACATATTCTCAGCTAAAGGAATAATGCAATAATGCCTACTGAAATGAGACAGTGCACATAAAGGGCTTTGCAGCTGCCTGGACCTTCTTAAAGGCTCAATAAATGCAAGCCATGGGGATGGGGATATGCAAGGAGGATGCAGAGGGGAATGTGAGGGGATGAGGGGGCTAGGATGGAGGATAAGGTTGGATGGACAGTCTGGGCCCTGATTCTCTAGCATCTCCAGGTAGTCAGGATTTGAAATTCCTTTCACTTCTGCCTGCTCCGTTAGGCACTGACTCTGCGTCCTGTGGACATCACG